CCTCCAGGCGCGGCCGGATCAGACTTGATGATTGGTCCTCAAAATCACTGGGATGAATTCATGATGAACTGGATGGTCATTTCTTGGAATGTTGTACTGGTACTGGTACCATAGGTTTCAACTTGAACTCATAGGATCTCTATAGCCTACATTTCTATACATTTCTAGTTTCTTCGTAGATCTCCTTTCATATCAATGCAGGTTCTAGCTGATTCTACACACCGGTCACCGAAACAACTCCGTTTCTACACCTCCCTAAGTTCCAACTCACGGCTACCTAATTCATGTATATGATGTATATATATATACCCTCTGGTTATGACTAACATAGCCATGGTATAGATGGCCCATAGAAAATAGATGGTTTACCTGGGTTTATCTATTAAAAATGGTGATTTTCCATTGCTATGTTAAATAACCAGATGGTATATATATACATATACATCATATATTATATTGATTTGAGGCATAAACCATGTTATATAAACCATTTGAGGGCTATATCTGTGGTCTAGTTCAGGCTTCTGAAAAATTCTTTCACCAAATGGATTTCCATGGTTCCACCATGCTCCAGCATTAAACTTGCTTTATTCAAGGTCATGAAATGATTTTTTCAAACCATGCTAATTATTACTCATTGGTGGTTGACCTACCCCCCCTGAAAAATGATGGAGTTCGTCAGATTGGATCATCATCCCAACTATGAAAATTTGAAATTCATGTTCCAAACCACCAGCCAGAATCACCATTAATCACCATTAACCATTGGGATCCCATGGCTTTTCGTAGGATTTCTCCATGAAATAAACCATCAATCTTGGGATCTCCCCATGATTAGTATCCACAGTGAACCAACCATGACCTGCCATGAACATTTCATGAAAATTTCATGCTTCGGTTCCCACGCGGCCCTGGCTCCAAAAATCACCTGGTTTTGAAGCAGCTGCAAGACCACGGCATTCAAGGACTGCTGCAGATCCATCTCCTTGGGTCCCGGCGTCCCATCCAACAAGAAATCCATGGTGAAAACCCTGGGAAAATGCTGGAAAATGCTGGTTGAACCATGGCATCCCGAAGTTTAACTTGCCTGTTTATGGGTGATATAAATTTACATAAACCATCAAAAATATGGGGAAGCTGTGGGAAGCTATCCAAATTCAATCGACTGCATCATGGCACTGTGATGACAAGCCCTTTGGATTCATCGTCCCGAGAATATGCTTCGAATTCCAATTTCAGACTCCCAATTTGTTTTTAACATTTTCATAGTTAGCCAGAGTGAAAATGACACATACTTTTTGAATAATTGGAGAAAGAAAATACATGTGTTAAATAATAATTCTTATACTTGATTCTTTTACAGTTGTTCTACCCTTTTGGATCCCAGTGCTTGGGCGGCCATGTTACCCCATGCCATCGATATCTCCACATTCCAGCCGCAAGAACAAACAACTTACCTTACCGGAACCAGAATTCTCATAAGTCCATCATTTCCCCAAGAAAAAACATGAAAAAACCATCATTCCCCATGTTTCTTAAGGTGTCCTCCACATCTTGGATCTCAATCACCCATCCGAACCCCGGGGACCCCCGGTTGCCCGCCCAGAAACCTGGCCCCCGCCGCTGCCGCCACTGAAGTCCATCGTCTAAGAAAGGGGCCCGCCGTGCGTCTGGAGCGGCCAAAGGCGGTGTATCAACATCATGTAAATGTATATCATATTATACATATATATATATAATATGTGTTGGTATCCTAACTAACATCATTAACCAATGTAATGTCAGGTGTATCAATGGTTGTGTTGGTTTAAGACGACCGTTAAATCAATATATACAAATATATATATATTATATCATATAATATCATATATAATGTGGGATCCACCCAATGCCAAAGTCACCATCCTCAAGTCATCACCATGACTTTATGGGTTGTAACGTAAACTATATGTAAACTTCATAAATCATCCCCAAGTTTGGTAGGTTTATGGCAGCCAGGGTTTCCCAGATTAATTGGGAAAGGTCCCATCTCCAAACACAGTTGCGCAGCAAGACTTCTTCGGAGCCCCGTTTGATTCGTCATGAAGCGCTGGATCACATGAAGCCCACCCTGTGTTTGACTCATCTTACCCATCTGGGCTTCAAGATATGCTGTGTGTCCCCTGTAAAACTACCAGCTCGATGTGGAAAAGCCAGCATGAAATGTACCATCTGGTTATTCAACATAGCCATAGAAAGATCCACCATTTTTAAGTTCGGTAAACCATCTATTTCTATGGGCCATCTATACCATGGCAAACTGTTAGTCATAACCAGAGGATAGATCCTTTGCCTAAGAATCATGGCTATCCCAGAGGCTTTCCCACGACCATCCCGGGACTTGGCCTCCAGCAGTATCAAAGCTGGCTCAGTGGAACTTGTGCCAAAAACAGCAGCAGGGAGTGGTCAAAAGGTCAGTCAACTACCTGAAATTGCCATGAATTGCCATGAAACATGGTCATTGAAATCCATGAAAAGAATCGGTAAATCATCTTTGAATGAAGTATGTTCCATGAAACTTATGTTAAGAATGTCAACCGCCCAGTTTGGCAAAACCAAACTGGGCTGTTGATCATGGGGAGGGTACCCATTCTAGTAGCAGATGCCATCACTATTTTTGGGGGGTCCCCTCCTACGTAATCAATCAGGGTGAAACAGCGTTGACTTTACATACCTCCGGCAATCAAACATAGCAATGGAAAATGCTCCATTAGTTCGATGATCTTCCCATAAAAATCTCCATTTATAGAATCATTTCCCAGCCATGATTGAAAATCCCATCAAACTCCAAGAAAATCCATTGAATCCCATTAAATCACCATTTTTCAGCCAGTTTGATGACACCAGGGGGTGAAAAACCACTTTTTGCACCATCGACGCATCCAAGGACGCGTGCGCATACCACCCTTCCACCATGAGTGTGCGCCAATGCTTCGCAAATGGGGAAACTATTGGATGTGCACCGCAGGTATAATTACATGGCAAAACAAAACTCCCATGTCTAGGATGTAGAACTAACAGTAGTTAAGGTATATGATCTGTATATCATGTGTATGTATATATATACATACAAATACATCTGTATATATATTTATATAATATACATGGCTACATACCACTTCTGAAGTGGGAAGCACATCCCATTAGTCGTGCTTCAAATCTGCTTCGCAAGGCTGAAGTAATCCTTCTGGTTGGCAGATTTCCTCATGCTTTAAACGTCGTAAATACCCCAAGCAAACCTAAGTCATTGACCACAACAAAAAATGAGTCAAGTGAATAGATCCTCAATTCTTCACACCTATTTACCTATTTCAAAAACCGTTCTTCTCCTGAACCAGGGCTTTTTTGCACAGCTCACAGGGTGGGCCCCCAGCAGCATACCTGTGATGCTGGACATCGATTTGCAGCGGCACTGCTCAACTCCTCCCATGCGCCGGCGGGTTGTTTCGGTGTGTCGCTGGCAATCGCTAAGCTGGAAAGGCATCCGAAACCGATGAAGTGAACAGGGTTTAGTGACTGGTTATCCACCTCCGGTGGTTCTAACTTATCTACCCTCTGGTGATTTAACATAGCTATTGAAAATGGCCCAGTCGAAATAGTGGATAACTACCCAGCTATAAAATGGTGGATCTTTCCATCGTTTTGTGTATGTTTTACCAGGCCGGGTAAGGGTTTTTCACATCTCCAGGTTCACTGAAAACACAGTTTTTTTTTGTCACACAGGGTCAAGTCACACAGGATCCATGGTAACCATGGTAACCTGAACCAAGAGAAACTTCAAAGATGTCAGCGACTTAAAGAAGTCCCAAGATTTCTGGGTTTTTAGAATTCTTCCCCCAAATTCATGAGAAAATAACATCCAAAAATCTGATGATAGAATTCTTATCCCAAGAAATATCAGAAACAATATATCAGAATTCTTATCCCAAGAAATATCAAGAAATATCAACAACTTAACCGTGAGTTTATCCCAAAAAAATAAGAAAAATATCCCAACATGACATCGGTGAAATCCCCACAGCATTTTGATTGTTATTCGGTGATATTTGAAATAACCAGCATGACTATTTCGTGAAATCACCATGTTTACTAACTGACTGAAATTCCAGTTCAATCAAACTAATTCCAGCTAAAATCCAGTTCAATCCAACTAACTTAACCATGGCACATATATCCAAAGCGCTGTTTGCTGCTCTTCGATCAGCTGGTTTATTGGCTCTGGAGGTTGAATCATCAACGTTTATTGGGATTGGGAATTCATAGGGTTTTTTCATGGGAATTCATGGGGAATATACCCTCTGGTTATGACTAACAGTTTGCCATGGTATAGATGGCCCATAGAAATAGATGGTTTACCGAACTTAAAGATGGTGATTTTCCATGGCTATGTTAAATAACCAGATGGTAATAGGATAATCAAACATGGCACTTGAATATGCAATGGAAACGATGTTTATAGCTGGGAAAATCATCTATAACTGGTGGATTGTTCATTGCCACGTTCAGTTTGCGAACTGGAAAATCAGCATTTTAAAGCTACATAAATCTTCATGTTTTATCATCTATCTCTATTTGTTCGGTCTATACCATAGCTGTGTGTTAGATAGCCAGAGGCTAACAATCCTGGTGATCCCAAAAAGCCACAAAATTCAAGTGGCTTAGCCATATTATGCCATATTATAAGTAGCTTGAAGTGGCTTATCCATACATACAAATAGCTTAAGTAGGTCAGAACTATGGTGACTATCACCATGAATTCGTGGAAACAGACTGTCCCAAAACTCTGGTGAAATGCAGCTCTGGTTCCATTGATACTCTAGTTTTGACAAATAACCCATAGATAAACTCATAAAAATATCAGATCATATCATATCATAGCCTATCATATCATAGCATAGCCTATCATATCATGTCAAATCATTTCATATCATTTCACATAATATCTTACAAATATCTGTACCCAGACTTCCTGATGCTTCATTCATTTCTGGCGGTTTGGGGCGCCCAAGCTCTGTGAAACTGCAATGAATTTGCCCCGTCTCAGTTCTGAGCCTGAAACCTGCCAGGTGAGAACGGTAGGCCCAGAATGTCAAACTCCGAAATAAATCATATATATATATATATACAAAAGCACACCCGGTGTGTGGCGTCTTCGAGTCTTCGATGTTCAATTCATGTTTCTATATAATTTCCAAATCCGAGAAGAAACAACATATGATTCCCACGTCCGAAATGAATCATAGAAATCGATTTGTGCAGTGGTTTCCCATTTGAAAAAGAACCACCGCAACGATCATCGGCCGTTGCACCTCACAATTCAGGTTCCAGTGTGCGATCTGCCGCCTGAGAAACGGGCGGAAGAGGAGGTCGATAGTCGACAGACCCACGATGACCGCAACTGGCAAAGCCATAAGCCACGTATGCCATGTTATATCTATGGCAGGTAAGCCATTGGGAAGACATGTGTATTACCAAAAATATTTAACTGGTTGGTGGTATACCTACCCCTCTGAAAAATATGAAAGTCACATGGGATTATTGTATATTATTGTTCCCAATATATGGAAAAAAAATCCAAATGTTCCAAACCACCAACCAGTTGATGATGAATTCCTCATGTGAAATACCCCGACATGTGCCAGTTCTATGGATCCAGTATACGGCTTTCAAGCCAACCCGCCAACCCGCCTTGAGCCTATGTGGAAAGTGTCACGTGGGAAGAGCTTGGGGCTCGATCCATGACTCAACGGTACTTCCAATCCCCAGCTAAGTTCCATGGAAATTTCAGAGAAATTGAACAATATCTCAATGGATTGTTTTTTTTGGGGAAAATCTACAGGAAATCATCATTTTTACCACCTAATAAAAAGGGGTTTCCTGTAGATGTTCCCTTAATCCAATCCAATGAATATCATAAACCATCATAAACCATCATGAACCATCATAAACCATCATACCCTCTGGTAAACTAACATAGCTATTGAAAATTGCGATTTATAGTGAGTTTTCCCATTAAAAATGGTGGATCTTTCCATAGTTATGTTACAGTTTACCAGAGGGTACACCATCATACACCATCATCAAATAAACCGTTCACTCGATTACTTACATGATTTCCCAACCTCAAAAATGGTCCATAAAAATGCTGCCCTTTTCTTCAAAAAACCGTGTCCAGGCGATCGAAAAAGATCAGGATTTCTTGAGATCATACAAGGTGGGGCCCCTTAGATAGCTAAGTTGGTGAACATAACTCCAATAACTATGGTTTTTGTTGGTGATATATCTATAGTTAATGGGATTATAAACCAACAAACATAACTGGGGGGCACCACCTTGTATGGAAAAACCAAAAGGGTTGGTCAGATCAGATTTCGGTCTTTTCCTGGCCCAATTAGATCTGACCATCAGATGGGTATGCTTCAAACTTGCAGTTAAAACAGTTAAAACCCCAAAATGGACGGTCGATCTGAAAATCTCTGAAATCACCATGTGAGTCCTTTTGTTTTTGACTGTGTTTCACATGAAAAATCAAGTTCAAACCTCAAGCCATATACATATCCTCTAGGTTTATCTGAGTGCCACCCAGCATTCGATCCCCTGGTTGAAACCCTCCGAATTTCCTCATGAAGCTTGGCCATTTTGTGAATGGTGATATACCCCAATTTTCACATACCTCAAGTTGGTTAGTTGCAAACCTGCACTACATCCCCCTCTGGTAGTTCAACATGGCTATGAAAAATCACTGTCTAAAAAAGGATAAATCATCTACCTCTAATACATGGACAATTTTCCATAGCTTTGCTGCTTTTTCTGAAATTAAGCTATTCCTAAGTCCACTGGATATTTTCTTCATTGTCCCTTCTGTGCAATTATTGGATATCATTGATTACTCCTAAATTTACTGGTGAATTGTCTCATTTTACCATATGGGTATAGGTCAAAATTGGGTACCGTATTTAACTTCGATTGTTCATACTTCGATTGTTCATAACTCATATGGAATATATCCCATTATATATTTGGGTATAGGTAAAAATTGGGTACCCCAATAATTAGATGGTAAAATACTGTTAATATCTGTTTATACTACACATATACATTTCAATCTGTGGTCCCTTCTGAGGCTTAAATGGCTTGACCCATCCCCCGGCTATTTGGTCCCCATTCAAATAGCCATCCAGTGACGGATACCCCGAGCCTCAAAGGGAAGCTGCTGCGCCTCGTTTTTTCACCGTGGGTTTTAATGGGGACTTGATTCACGAAGATAGTGGTTGATGATGGTTGAATATGGTTGCTGATAGTTGATGATGGTTGATGATGGTGATGCGTGATTGGTTGCTTTATAAACGTGACCAAAAAAAAGCAATAGTAAAATAACCCTCCAAAAAAAAACGTAAACTGCGAGCAAAATTGTGATAGATTGTGTTTCTATATCTGTTCGGGGGTTGCTATGCTGGTGGTTTCGCTGGCAGAGCAATCTGACAAGTCAATGAGGACCATCATCTTATGGTTGAAAAGGACAGGTTGAATGTAGTTGATTGGGGGGTTTAATATGGATATAATTGAGTTCTTCCGACTAATATCCTCAAGTTTGGCGGAGAAAAGTCTCCAAAATGTTAATTATATATATATATATACGTATACACTATATAGGTATATAATCATGTAACTTATCTTGTTATCACGGCGACAACTCTACAACTTTCTCAACTTTTGGGTTTGGGTTTTGTCTAGAGAACTGGTCACCCATCTTCTGGCCCAACAAATTGGATCCCTGCCTTCACAACCAACCACCAGAGCTATCTCGAACATCTCACAGCAAAAATCCATCCCAATTTGCAGTTGACAAAATATACAAAATGCAAAAAAAACTCTGGGTCCCCATTTTCAGCCACACCCGTGTCACCCGCAAAAAACACATCGTAGGGTGGCGTCAAAAACTCAAAAAGGGCCGCGTCTGAGTGATTCACCAGTTCACTGAGCCGCTGGTGATACATCAAGGCTTTCCTTTGCTCCACCTGTGACACTGGAAATCCGCGGAATACATCTTGTGAAATGTGATGGTTAATAGTGGTTAATATCATGCTTAATAGTGGTTAATAGTGAAATATACATGTTTACATGTATATATGATATACAGTATATGACTAGGGAGATACCTATATAGATAGATAGACAGACAGATAGGTGCGATTTATGTTCTAGTCGAAATAGGACATGGGAACATACATTAGTTTTATACTGGTTGAATGACTAGTATCTTCGCTATACATGGCAAATACTTATCATATTCATCACATCCCTATGAAAAGAACGATTAACCACTAATCATTGCTAACAATGATATTTTTGTATTCATCACATCCCTATTAATCACTACTGGGACATATTCATCATTAACAATCAGTAACCATTCTCAACCACTATTAACCAGTATATAACCACTATTGGCACAGAAACATTATTCTAAAACTAGTTGAATGATATATCATTAACCATTATTAACCACTATTAACCACTATATCAACCACTATTCATCATTAACCATTATTACCTTTCGTAAATTAACATAGACCCTGGCAGACAGGGGTTGAAAAACTAGTTTCCACTAGAAAATTGGTTATTTTCAGGGTCCAACTTACAAGAGGGTAACCACTATATTCACCACTAATCATCATTAACCACTATTAACAACCATTATTAACCATTTATGAACCATTATTGACCATCGATTCACCATCTATTAGCCACCATTATTCACCACTATTTCCCATGATCTATTCCCCATCGTTGCCAACCGTCACCTCCAAGGACATCTTCAAGGCGCGATTGGCGCGTTGCTCCGCACCAAGCTCCTGGCAGATCCGGGACGGATGGGACGGGAGCCGCAGTCGGAATCAATGGAAATCGCCTACAGAAAGCACTAAGAGAATATGGAAAATCATGGGAAATAATGAGAAAATCATGAGAAAATCATGAGAATATCATGGAAAAAATCATGGGAAAATAATGAGAAAATCATGAGAATATCATGAAAAAATCATGGGAATATCATGGGGAAATAATGAGAAAATCATGAGAAAATCATGAGAAAATCATGGGAAAATCATGGGAAAATAATGAGAAAATCATGGGAATATCATGGGAAAATAATGAGAAAATCATGGGAATAGCATGGGAAAATAATGAGAAAATCATGAGAATATCATGAAAAAATCATGGGAATATCATGGGAAAATAATGAGAAAATCATGAGAAAATCATGGGAAAATAATGAGAAAATCATGAGAAAATCATGAGAAAATCATGAGAAAATAATGGGAATATCATGGGAAAATAATGAGAAAATCATGAGAAAATCATGGGAAAATCATGGGAAAATCATGGGAAAATCATGAGAAAATCATGAGAAAATCATGAGAAAATCATTGGAAAAACATTGGACAAGCGTTGGATCATGGGAACAGTATTTTTTCAAATCAGAGGAAATCAAACATGGCAAGCTGGGAAATCCCATGGAAAATCCCATGGAAAATCAAAAGGAACTCCAATAGAAATTCTTGAAACTGATTTGAATCAATAGTGGACGTTCTCTCTGGTTATTGAACGTAGCTATTTAAAAAAGAAAAATGTCAAGTTTGAAAGCGGTACCATCTGGTTATTTAAGAGTTCGCCATGGAAAATTACAATTTTTAAGTTCGGTAAACCATCTATTTCTATGGGCCGTCTATACCATGGCTATGTTAGTCATAACCAGAGGGTAAATGAATTAAATCATCGAACCATGGGCCATTTTTCATAGCGTCGGGATGCATCAGCAATTTGAGGTGCTGATAGTGCTATGAAATCTCCATTTGTTAGTTATGGATGGCCCATATGGCCCATATGGTTGAAACAGTGCTTTAAATGATAGTAAACTTGGTAAACCCAAAAGAACATGAGCAGTAATGCAGAACTGTAATGAAGCCTCTGGTAAACTTTTACATATCATAGCTGTTGAAAATGGCCCAGTCGAAATAGTTGATTTAGCCAGCTATAAAATGGTGGATCTTTCCATTGCAAACTGTTAATTTACCAGAGGCTACCATTGTTTTAGGATCGGATGTTACATGTCTATCTTTTCGGGGAAATTTTGGGGGTTGCTTCAAACAAGATGGAGACGTATCTTGGCCAGTTACATAGCCAATCTTAGATACATAGATAGCCTGCATTTTCTTAGCTTCTGGTATGTATAATGTATATATATATATATTCCCTTTACGGCGAAAACAACGAACCAGTTTTTTAGCTGGATTTAAAGCTTGCAACCGTGCCATGTGCTTGATGGGAATATAATCTTGACATTGGAAATGACGGGAATCTTCCATGAATTTCCCATTGAGAAATATTGATCATAGTTTTGTGGAATGAGAATGAGTTGCAAATGGGGAAGTTTTCAAAGCTAAGCTTTTTACATATATTAGTTGACCATATATATATATATATGTATATATATATGTAATATATATATTAATGTATATATGTATATATATACGTAATATTATATATTTGTAATATATATATATATGTAATATATATATATATATATATATGTAATATATATATATCTATGTAATATATTTATATAATATATATATATAATATATAATATAATATATATATATATGTAATATATATATATATGTAATATAATATATATATATGTAATATAATATATATATGTAATATATATATATGTAATATATATGTATATATATATATGTATGTATATGTATATATATATGTATCTATATATATATATGTAATATATATATATATTAATATATATATATATACGTAATGTTATATATTTGTAATATAATATATATATATATATAATATATATAATATATATATATAATATATATAATATATATATAAGAAATATATATAATATATAATATATATAATATATATATAATATAATATATATATAATATAATATATATATATGTAATATATATATATATGTAATATAATATATATATATATATATATGTAATATTTATATATATGTAATATATATATATATATATGTATATTTATATATGTATATATATATGTAATATATATGTAATATATGTATACGTATATACATATATACATATATACATATATACATACATAATTATATATGTCTATATTATCATACAATTGGATTCTGGTGAAATCCCAAGTCTTGGTGTCTGCCAGGTTTCCATCGCCTTCTCATAGCGCTTCACTTGATCGATGAGGCATTCCACCTATTCGCCGAGAAAAGCGCAGTGAAAATCTCCGCAGATTTTAGGTCAACTGGAGAGAAAGTAGGCACATAGTTATGTTTGTTGGTTTAGATTCGCCCCAGTCACTGCGTATAATTATAAGTACCATAAACCATAGTGAAATTGGAGTGATGTGAACCCCAACTTATCTATCGAATGGGGGGCCTCACATTGTAGATAAGATGAGATAAAATCAGATAAGAAAGATAGATACAGCGATATATGATCCACTGAACACGACCCCGAACCCCAGTGCTACCTGTTGGGTATCCGTCTCGACCAAAAATTCAGCTGGGAGTAGTGGATACTGCTGATGTTGTACTAAGCTCTCCATCCAGTTCTTTTTTCCTAATATTCCCCCAGATTTTCTCTCCAAATAATCCAAATACCCCCGGTGTTTGTTGCTTGAACCATTAGAATACCCGCATGTTTCATTCTTTCAGTCCAGGAGAAGCTGAAAGTTCTGAAAGTTGGATTCGTCCCACAAAAACAGAATAAAAATCCCAAGGATGTCGGAGTCTTCCCCAAACAAAAAATCACAATCTTTTTTATGCCCAGGCACCAATTGTTCCACCAGCAGTTGCTTGTCCCTGAGGTCCAACTTCACTTGGTCCTGGCACCCATGGGATATAAAAAAAAAAACTATATATATATATATATAACCTCTGGTAAACTAACATAACTATGGAAAATCATCATTTTTCATGGGAAAATCCACTATAACTGGCCATTTTCAATAGCTATGTTAAATTACCAGAGGGTATATATATATATATGATCCAATAGTTTTTACATCAATAGATAATAGGATAACAATATGGTATAAATGGCTCAATAGTTTTGGATTATCCAATAGTTTATCCAATCGTAGATTTTTTCAATGGGATTATCCTTTGATTCAAAGAACAGTTGAGATGGGCACATCTCATTGAGAACGCTACGGGGATTTGCAAACATCCCTTTGGATGATATAATGAGATACGATAACTTGTCTATATGATAGTTTATATCAGTAATGAGCTAAACTCAATGGGATATAAATGATGTAAATATACGATCATATTTAGATGCTTCAATTGGGATATCATGAGATGATTGATGATGATTGATCATTTCTGGTACAAGCTGGTTGTTTACCAGCTCCCCTTGCCGAAATGGTTCAACTTCTAAGGGAATTGCTGGCAACCGCCATGTAATATAAAGCAATATCATCGGCAGAAAGAAATAGAGTAAATGACACAATAATATATATATAGGTAGTAACAACGTTTTTATGTTTGGAAAAAACCGAATAATACAACGTGATATAAAGCTTATGAAAACAGCTACCATGTTTGATTCTTACTGTAAGCCTCAAAGCCCAATTTCTGATCTGACAAAAATGCCCAAGTGTGACAAATACAACTCCAGTGACGCGCGACATAAGGTCTTTGTAATTCATCCAGAGTAATATATTTTTTTTAAAAAAAAAACAATAATGAAGCAATAACAAAAATAAGTGGGGGTGGACATATCTTTTGAAAATCTATATCAAAAGAACAACGTCACCAGTCGTATGTCAGGTCACACCTGGCAGCGCCAACTCTACGGATCCAGGATGATCCAGGTGCGGCTGGTTGGTTGAAAAACGCAGAGATGTTGGGAACTTTGGATGGTGAAATTCCCCACCGTGTCTGCTTCATACATTCACCTGTTTTAAGGGTAAATCATGGTAAATCGATGTAAATCGATGCAAATCTGCTGGCTTTCCCCAAAATTCTTACCCCTTTGTTCCAGCACTTTCAGCTGCACTCGTCCTGAACCAAGTCTTCAATCAATTTCTTAGGTGTCAGCTCCTGCCGGGTGAATCGTTCTGGTGTCCGAAGATGTCAGACCCCAAGGAATCCGAGTCATTTTCGGAGGGAAACATCAGGAAACACATGGTTTTATAATGTTTTATATAAGGGGTACTGTATGATCAGCAACATATCTCCGGGAATAATTGATGTTTTTGCTGAAGAGGAAACAACTTTGGGCGAGGTCGAGTTGATGTTTTGACCTCGGAAATGAGAATGAACGGCGACAGTGTGCTTTGATCAACATAGATTCCTGAAATGTTGAGATAAAACCCGAAACTGGCCCTGGATTTATTTGCTGTGCAAAACTCAACAACATGGCCATGTTTGCCATGCCAATGTCCAGTTTCTGGCCTAAGATTCATGCTATCACATGCAGCCTGGAAAGGCCCTGAAATTGTCAGTGGCCGCTTTTCGCGTATGTACCATAGGGTACCCTCTGGTAATTTAACATAGCTATGGAAAATCACCATTTTTTAGTGGGAAAATCCACTATAAATCGCCATTTTCAATAGCTATGTTAAATTACCAGAGGGTACTCAAGGTTTGATTTTTGCCCAACCGGGATCTGTTCATGAACAAGGGCCACACGGGCCACACGCGACCAATGTGACTAAGGTCTCACCAGCAAATTGTGAAAGATCTATGCAACATGATCGAAATCCCCATACGCCTTATGACTTGCTGGCGGTTTCGCACACCTGTTGAAATCTAAGAAGAATATGAACCAGATGATTTTAAATGGATTTTTTGTCAACATCCATGGGTAGCAAGAGACACACCAGTCCTCCCTAGCCGATGGGGTGGCATCTTCCCTGTGGCTGTTCACCGCTGCCGAAGCGATGGTGCCCGGGGTGAATGGGGTGATTGCCTCAACAACACACAACTTGAGCTTCATCTATGCCTAGGTTAACTAGGCTTTATGGTGATGAACATTCATGAAATAAGTAGTTGGGGTAAAAAAACATAGTAAAATCCCCAATGACTCACCAGAAATGGTGAGAATGGCCTTGGGTTTACCACATTCATAGCGATACACTTGGGATATTCTGTGGCTTAATCTACCAGAATGAGGCGCCATACCTCGGGTGCCTAACATGTCACCATACCTCGGGTCCGAGCTTTAGTCACAAGCCAGGACCTGCAAAAGTGCTTTGAATATACCAGAAGAATGCAAGACGGCTAGGAGGTTTCTGTCTGTTTCATTAATCGCTTGAGATGCTGCCACACAACAAATAGACTTCTTCAAGTCTAAGTAGCGCCATTTCCATGGCATCAGAGTCAGGAAAAAACAGCATAAACCTTGAACGAGATCACCTGTATACCTTTCTAGCTAGCAAATCTTGGCTTAGGCATACATCTAAATGGTCTGCTTTCTCATCATTTGCTACACATACCAACTTGCAAGACGCACTTTAAGACCATGCAAGGGCCCCAAGAAATCACACCTAAGCAGTCTAAGCAGCCACAAATCTGGCGAATGTCACGATCTAGACGATTGCTGGAATCCCATCCCCGATTTCTTATTGGTTGCAGCTCCGTGATCCATTCCTGCTTAGAACAAAAACCACGCAATCACCTTAAATCACGTGTTTTCTTTTCATCTAAAAATAGGGACACAAAACATTTTCTTAGATGACTCAGCAACAAAAAAACATGTGATGTATCTATGATCTTATAGATTCTAAAAAAAGCCTATACCCTCTAGTAATTTGTCACATAGCTATTGAAAATGGCCCAGTCGAAATAGTGGATTTTCCCATTAAAAACGGTGGATCTTTCCATAGTTATGTTAGTTTACCAGAGGGTATATAAAAATATATATATATATAGTTTTTTATATCCCATTGGTGCCAGGACCAAGTGAAATTGGACCTCAGGGACAAGCAATTATCCATGTATTTATAGATTCTAAAAAAGCCTATAATTACCATGAATTATCCATAAATCTGACCCCATCGGTCGCCTGGGTGGTGTGGCCATGGCCGTCACGGCCGTCAGGGCCGCCTTTGCCTGGCGTTGGCGTTGTGGCATGGTACGTGGTGGCCACATTATTAGACATTATATGTGGTGTATATATGATTGATATACATTGATATAGTATGATATAGTGATATATTAATGATATCTCGATATATCCCTACTTAATATTATTTATTTTTTTCAAACAAAGCATGTGTTACTTGAGATTTTTTGATGTTTGAATACGACTTACCACTATGGGCTTTCACAACCATCATAACCTTTCCATCCAACAAAAATGAAGCTCTGACAAAACATGCAGATATCACCAGCAACCCAGTGGGTTCATCGCAGAAATGATTCCCCAGTGGTTCATTCACGCGCTATACCCTCTCCCATAGGATCCATGGTGCTGCTATATATGGTAACATTTTGTAACATTTACCATCAATATACCCCAGTGATGTTAGCATATATACCAGCACCATGGATCCGTCATGGGTCTGATATGGGTCATCATCGAACTAAATGGATCGTATCGTACGCGGCTTCCAACCATTGCAAGCTGCAACTGTTGAAGGATGGTTATCAAGAACAACCGCCTGTTTGCTCTGGCTGTGCAGAAGTTTAATGAAGAGAACAACCCTCTCAGAAGACCACTCTCAGAGTCCGCCGTCCCAGTGGTTCCGAAGTATTTTTGCGGTCGCACGTGATTCTTGTTGGAGGGTGCAAGCGATGAAGTTCTAAAAACAAGAAAAGAGATCCTGATGATAAATTGCCGTGTTTGTTATATCTCAACAAAGATAAAGACATAGAATCCTGGTTACACCCGCTTGTTTGTCAAGACTTCCAACCTTGGCTTCAGTCCATACTTTTTTAAAAGTTCGTCCCCGCTAACCACTGGTCTATGACCATACTTATATAGTATGATGGAACATAATTATGATATATAATCCCTACTAAGTTACATGTGGCATAAAATAACAGACAAACACAAATAAAATCAGAAAAGGTGAAGAATTCACCGATATGTTCGTAAGGAATTTATCATTTACCTGCAGTTATAAGTTGGTTTAGATTCGCCCCAGTAACTAGTTCGTTATTTGCGTACCATAAACCATAGTGAAATTGGAGTGATTGGTTCACCCCAACTTAGCTATCGAATGGGGGCCTCACATTGTACCCCATCTGGTTATTTAACATAGCCATGGAAAATCCCTGATAAATGCAGGTTTAGTTCGCTGGGAAAATCATCTATTTCTATGGGCCATTGGGCCATTGTCCATGGCTATGTTAGTCATAAGTTGGTTTAGATTCGCCGCAGTAACTAGTTCGTTATTTGCGTACCATAAACCATAGTGAAATTGGAGTGATGTGAACCCCAACTTAGCTATCGAACGGGTAAACATCTGCTAATCTTTTCGATTTTTTACCATGACCTCCAAGCAACCACCAGAAAAACCGCAAAAAGGCACGACCTCCAGAACTTTGTCATAGCATGGCTTAGGCGCTTGCTCCGGAGGAGGGGGCACCTGAAAAATCCCGGAAAATCCCATGGGAAAATCACATGGGAAAATATAGGAAAATCCATGGCACAAATCCATGGCTGCCCAAAAAGAGATGCTGACAAGTCTGAATAATCCAAATCAGAAATGGAGAAAAAACTCATGTTTTTTCTATCTTTTTTTGGGTGACATTCTGAATGGGGGTTTGTTATGATTTCTTTGAAGATCTTCCGCAGAAAATCTGGATCTTCCTCTGCCGAGGTCTCCATTCGCACCTGGCTTGCTGGAAAATACCCTACAAATAGATGGTGTTTCTACCAGATATACCCTCTGGTAAATTAACAGTTCGACCCTGGCAGTTGTTGGGTTTGGAAGACTAGTGAAACCACTATAAATTGGTCATTTTCAGGGTCCAACTGTTAATTTACCAGATATAAATGGTATAAAACCTCCATTGATATCCATTATTGGAGTTTCCAGCCAGCCATTTTTCGATTACTGCAGTATTTCTGGTGCAAATTGCAGACTTTAGGTACCGGAACGTGCATAAATGTGTCTAAAGGTGCTGCTTATTGGAAGCTGTTGAATAAATGGAGCCTCAGTCACTGCCGTCTCTTTTGTGGAGTTCGAGTGCACAAAGGGAATCGATTGGAACAGAAGCGATTGCACCATGGCAAAGAATCCAAGCCGCAAGGAAGAAATCACAATGTCTACCTTCCACTAAATCAACATACGAAAAAACATCATTTGTAGATCATTGTCCTATAGGAAAACCATGGGTGTCCTTTTCTTTCGTGTCAATTTACTGGAGGGTTTAACAGGATTTAACACCAGGTATATGTTCATATATCATTCTTAACTAACATAGATGTTGGAAATCCGTGGAAATAACAGGTATAAAATATCATATCATTCTTAATCCACTATTTAATTTAATTCCGTAGATATCCACATCTTAACATCTTAACATTATCATTTAACCTTATCATTTAACATAGATGTGGGAAATCCACCGGTTGAATGTTTGAAGATCATATTCTTCAGCTGCTGATACGCAGGCCCAGATCTGAGATCTCTCTCTAAACCTCTCCAACTCAGCTGCCAACGAATCTCCATGTCTGCGGAACCACCAGGGAGCCGGCCTTTGCCGGTGAGCCACCGAAAACTGGAAAAAAATCTGGGAAAAAGTGTGGAACAATCCTCCTGAAATGCCCAACCCAACTAAACCATGGAAAAATATTGGGAAGAACATGGGAAAAATATGGAAAATCATGAAAAATCCTCCCGAAAAATATTGAAAAATATTGGGAAAACATGGGAAAAATCATGAAAAATCCTCCCGAAACCATCATCGAAGCGTTTGAAATCCAGGATTGTGCAAAACGCAGGGGTCCTTCGAAAGCCCGGTAGTTCAACCCAAATTCCATAGCTTGCGTATCATCTTGTTCCCATAGAAAAAAAACTGTCTTTGCTCTATCTCATTCATGATATTCCCAATCATGTGGGTAAAACAATGCCATTTTTACCATCCCCCAGTCATCACCATTTTTCTAGATGGTATGGTTACCAGTACCGTTCCCAGTCATAGGTTTTAGAGCACAACCACCTCGTTCTGCAGCAATGGCATCTCAGGCGCAGCACTCGCAGCGCTGCCTGGCAAGCGAGAAAGTTGGGGGATTTCCCAAGGTTTTTTGAAGGGTTTCCCAAGGCTTTTCCAAGGGCTTCCCAAGGCTTTCCCAATGATTTTTGAGGAAAAACATAAAAATATGGGACACCTTGCAATAAATATGGGTGAAACCCCATGGTTTCACGATGGGAAAGGCTACCTTTGGCAACTTGAAACCTCACATTTTCAGTCGTCCATGGTCCATCAACGGCGGGTTTTTCATGGTCATCTTCAACCATCCTTGCTTGTTGGACCCCCACAAGAATATGACCAAATTATGCAAACTAATGAGGAACAAATTCACACTGATTGACACTTCATATCCTGAAGGCCGTTTCTTATTCATTTGGACAACATATGGGATGTGGCTCCTCTAAGTAGGCATAAGGCCCCTTGATAATGATGGATGCACACCCATGTGAATATGACATAGGTTCTATAAGGTGAATAGGATTCATCCCTAGAAACAATAGTGATGGGCGTGTATGTATAATATATATATATATATTAATATGTAATTATATAATATATATTTATTTACATATATGTATAATTATATATATACATAATATATGCGTGCATAATAATTTTCCAGGTATGTACATCCGAAAAGTTAAACCATATACACTAGGCTTCCGAAAGGGTTTTTAGATGTTTTTAGCTTATGTGTCTCCATCACATCAAGAAGCACCACGGGAAGGGCCCCCAAGATAGGATCGTCAAGAACTGGGCGAACAGGGCGTTGTGATAAGTCACATTATACTTACAGTTGGAAAATAGGTAACCCTAAATCTACTAGTGAATCATCATACTTTCCCCGTGAAAGTCATCATTTATTGCGAATACCCTAATTTTCCGACAAACCCATGCTGTCATATACCAACTCGGAGACCTCATCCTGCATGCCCCGGAATCCCCAAGGGGCGCACGCCAACTGGGCCATTTTTCGCGGCTTCATCGAGACAGCTCCCGGCAAGTTGGAGGCGGCATGGGTGGATTCGGATTGTGGTCACTGAACATCATCGAACCAGTCGGTAACTATATCCTGAGTATTTCTACTGTTCTACTCCTTTATAATTTATCATCATCAAGCAACGGAGATTGCAGTGCTCATTTTGATCTGCACAGATTTTGCTTGATGGTTCTTCGGCCGTTCTGTTTTGCTTTCTTGCATGCCAGCCTCCCTGAGCAAATGTACAATCTCGACATGGCCCTTCTGAACTGCGCTGTGCGGTGGTGACACTCCATCTTTGGTTCTGGCTTTGTTGATGTCCATTCCAGCCTCAATCAGCAAGTGCACAACTTCACTATGGCCCTTTAGAGCTGCGATGCGTAATGACATCGATTTGCTAATGTCAGCACGAGCATCAACCAGCAAGCGCACAACTTCAGCATGCCCCTTGTGAGCTGCCTTGCGCAAGGGGGTCAACCCATCAATGAGTCGCCTCAACATCAGCTCTAGCTTCTATCAAAAAACGCACAAGTTCAGCTTGGCCCTTCTCTGCTGCGACATACAATGGTGTTGCTCCAGTGTCAGCTTTGACCTTGTCAAACTCAACCGCAGCCTCGATGAGGAAGCGCACAACTTCGAAGGGGCCCTGATAAACTGCCATTTGCAATGGTGTCAAGCCATCAATGCTTCGGCGTTTCTCGGTGTCAACCCCAGCTTCTATCAGAAGGCGAACAAGTTCAGCTTGGCCCGTCCCAGCCGCGATATACAATGGTCTCCTGAATTAATGAGCAAGCGAACAAGCTCAACATGGCCACGCTGAACTGCAAGGTACAAGGGTGTTACACCATCGTCAACTTTGGCCAAGTCTACATTGACTTGAGCCTCAATCAGAAAGCGAACACTTTCAACATGGCCATGGAAAGCTGCAAGGAGTGATGTCTGGTGCATCTTTCTCCGCACCTGCCTCAAGCAATAGCGGCAGCAAGATGTCCATTTCCAGCTGCATGGTGTAAGGGGGTTCTGCCACGGATATCTGTCATTTCCGGCTTGCAGGGGCATTGAAGCAACTTCTCAATGGTGAACAAATCATTGTCCCGGGAGGCAGTGATCATCATCTGATCTTCTTCTGTTGTTCGAGGGCAAAAGTCCAACACCACAAGCTGGATCTTCACTAATTCGGAGACAGAAACTTCATCATTTTCAATCTGCTTGGACCCGTCGTCCGACAAGCACCTTTGTCGAAATCTCGAAACACCAATCTGGGTTGCCAGAAACTGCTTCACTTCTTTGGTAGTTTTACCTTGATAGTCATCCACAATAATTAGCCAGTGGCTCGCCTGACAATGCAGAGTAAACGCTGCACATACGTGGCAGCAGCAGACCTGTAGGAGGAGTCTAGGACATTCAAAAGCTATCCGGACTTTTCTCTGCCTTCACCAAAAAATGCCGCGGGCGAGCACGAGTCATTCGCATGCTATTCTGATATGATCGAGGCATTTTGGGTGTCACAAACCATTACTGAAACAACATGAAATAACAAGGAAAGAGCCACCACAAAACGCCTCAAAAAATATAGATGGTTTCCTCAGTCATGGGGGTACCCCCACATCATCCATGTTAGATTGGGATGTTCGTTCCATTATAACCATCCAGTTATTGGGGTACCCCCAACCATTAGGAACCCCCTGATATGGATCCAGGTGAATTTCATGGGTCATGTTTTGTGCGATGTTGCGGGCGAGTTTGATAAATGACTCACGTGCCAAGGGAAGTGACTCAACTTAGGATGCTTCCCTCCAGTTATGTTTGTTGGTTACCATCCGCTACTCATGGTTTTTATCAACCATCCGCTCATGGTTTCTATCGCACACATGGCAAAATCCATGAGAAATCACTCAAGGGATTGGTAAAAATGCCAAGGGAAAATATGGAAGAAATGATTCATCCGGGGGCTGGGCCTATCTTTGTTCAGAAAATCCAAAAATTGTGGATCTACTGACGTTCACTGATACCCTCTGGTAAACGGGCTAACATAAAACGATGGAAAGATCCACTATTTCGACTGGGTCATTTTCTATGTCGCAAACTGTAACAAATTACCAGAGGGTATGATATTCTTACTTGAGGGTATGCTTGGTAGGTCCTTTGACTTTCAAGCTTTGGAATCTGCTGCCCCTACCAGCATGATCACTCCCATTCTCAAACAGTCCAGAACAGGTTTAGTGGACCATGAAATTCAACCACCATTTCAAGTTTCAAGTGCTGTTTCAACCCCCTTATCAGATGGTGCCCCCTCAACTTTCAGTTGAGTTTAAAACAACAACAACAACAACAACAACAACAACAACAACAACAACAACAACAACAACAACAACAACAACAACAACAACATGAACCCAATAGTTATCATCATGAACCCAATAGTTCTACGAACGCTATTTTTGTTTCACCAACTTAGCGATCCGAAACCGTTTCACCACCGAACGTAAGGACCATTTACATGGGTGTGTCGGTGTGTCTGGAAATTTGAGGTATACCCATAAGATCCCCTATACTACTTAAGAGTGTAACATGATCAATGGGAATTTCAGGATCACTGTACCATATAAGATCATATTTTGTTGGGATATTCCCTTACATAGGCCTTATATAGGCCTTATACATGGTAGGTACCTCCAATTTAGGATCCTGAAATTCCCATTGACATGATGATAAAACATTGGAATTTGGGGTATAGCCTATTTTCAGACAAATCCAAGGTGTCCGGCACCTGCTCTTGCCGGGACTGGAACCTGCAAGGCTGGCACTGTGAAGATCTACATAGCGGACGGTTATGAATAATTTCAATGTTTTCTATTGGATTATTGAGTTCTTTGATTGATTCATTGATTGATTGATTGGTTGATTGGTTGGTTGATTGATTGATTGATTGATTCAGTGGTTCAGTGATTAAATGATTAAATGATTAAATGATTAAATGATTAAATGATTATATAAATGATTCTGATTGAGGCTGACCCAGCCAAATCTACAGATCTCTTTCCTTGGACAAAAAGGACCCGTTTTCCAAGGCCAGAAACTTTCCGACGTGTCCACCCTCACGGGACTGCGCCGACATTTCACTGAGGAGATCAACAGAAAATTGGTTTAAAAAACAATAAGGTTTATGGTAAGTATAACTGGGGGGAACCAACAACCTGGTTTTTTTTTATTTTCGGTTTATTTAAAAAAAAAAAAAAAACTATAGAAGCAAAAGGGCTTTGCTGACCTGTGGTGCATTTTCATGAGCAAGTACAGAGGCAAGGCTTCCTATGGACCATTTGGCAAACTTCTGGAAGTATGTGCACAAGTTGGTTGGAGCATTGAGGCCCCCAAATGGTGTTTATAAAGCAACAAACATTTCACTGGGGGGAACCATCCTGGGATATCAACCAAACAATTTGTTTCTTGGCCGCGAAGAGTTCGTTTACAACTTTTAGATGGTTCAAATCGGGATTCCCCGTTGATTCATAGGTAACCCCCAAGATATAAAGAGTGGTATAATCCCATAATGGCCCATAATCATCAACCAGGGTTTTGAACTTTAGTGAGATTTTTATATGGTGCTTGGAAAAATCCATGGGGCCCAGTTCTCATCCATTTATCTGGCTAAATTATAATAATTCACTAACCTGAATCTTGCGGCCATTTGGGGATGATTTCCCAAAAATAAACCATGATTCCAGTGAGGGAGAACAGTGAGGTCGCTATAATTTACCCAGATTTATGGGATTTTCCACAAAAAAAAACCATCCATGTTCCCATCCATTTATGGCGGCGCCTCCGCAGCGGCTTCTACGTGGCTCACGTCAGCTTTTCGCCTGGGTTTCGTGCGGAGGCTCCGAGACATGGGATGTGTTAAGCGACATCACGAAGTGGAAAACTTCAACAAATCCGATGTTCATGGGGATTTGTCAATTGGAGGATTCCAAGTCATTGGACCATTTCTTCATGTAGCCATGGTTACCAGGGGTTCCCCGTTTTTTTTCAGAAACCCCTGTTTTTGAATTTTGGGCCGCCATGAATTGCTTTGAGAGCATTTTTTGGGCATAACATCAGTATCGCTTACCAGTGGTTCACTATAGGCTTTATGGAGATACTGAGATAAATAAATAGATGGGTTTATAACAGAACAAACATCGCTGGGGAGTGGCACCACCTTGAATTGAAACTAGAGCCGACGTGCATCCCAAAACCCAACCATTTATAGATGTTTTTTCCCATGAAAAAGAAACAAAAAAACACTTCATTTATAGGGGATTTCCAATTGCCACGTTTGAATGCTGGAGGGTATGATTTCTGTGTCTTTGTCGCCCATCTTCCCAGGGAATCAGAAAAAGTTTGTTGCACCTCTGTCTCTCCACCGGCACTGCAGGTTCCGGTACAGGCTCACTCTCCTGTGGAGGTTCCACTTAGAAATGGATACCCGCTGTTTTTGTTTAACGTGGCTTGCTGGAAAGCCCCCCCATTTATAGATGATTTTCTCATAAAAACCTCCATGTATAGGGGATGTTCCATTGCTATGTTCCATTGCTATGTTTGATTACCGGATAGTATATGATAGTTGGGCGGCTCCGTAACCCAACTTATGGGGGTCAAAATTCCATGGTTATATACACATAAAAGGCACCCCAACTGCACCCCCATATCCCCATATCCCGCATATATTCCCATATGGCTATGAGTCAAAACCCTGGCACCCGGATGGTACCTAAAATAGATGCTTAATGGATGTTTATTCCCCACTATATGGTGGTAATACCCTCTGGTAAACTAACATAGCTATTGAAAATCACCATTTTAAATGGGAACATCCACTATAAATCACCATTTTCAATAGCTATGTTAGTTTACCAGAGGGTAATAGGTTTTGACCCATCCCCATATATCCCTCAAATGGTTTGTTGTCCCTATTGTATCCGCATTGTGGCTAAATTATATCAATTCAGTAAAAATCATGAACATTTTGGGATAGATCACCGTATTAATTAACCATAATTCCAGTGACGTCGCAACATGAGGTCACTATGATCTATGCAGATATGATATTTGTTGGTTATCTATCCCATTATATATAAATCCCCCTGATATTCCCAATATATCCCATAATACAGAGGTAATAATATAGGGCTTATAATGGGCTTATCCCGTATATTCACAAGATATGACTGGCAAAATAATGCAATTTGGGTATGATTCTCGAAATCCTTACCATCTTTCCAGTGACGTCATGAGGTCATGATCAAATTCATCCAGATCCCATGAAAAAAATGTTAAAACAAATGGCTTCTAGGAGGGTTCTCCCATGATATTGCCAAGGAATATCCCAATATATTCTGGTTGCTGGTATACCTACCCCTCTGAAAAATGATGGAGTTCGTCAGTTGGGATGATGACATTCCCAATATGATGGGAAAGTGATGATTAACCATATAAGTATCTAAGTATCATTATCCATATATAGTTTTATAATCCCCATTGACCAATAGTTTTGTTTGTATTGATATTCCAAACCACCAACCAGTATTGATAGATCTCACCAACTATACGTCAGCATTTTTTAAAAAATGCCTGCAAGAACGGTCTGATATGACTACGACTAAGGACTACGACTTAGTGTTTTTCTTGCGCATTTAAAAAGAAAAACAACAACAAACAAACAAACAAACAAACATACTGTGGATGGAATAAATTCTGCACCAGGGTAAACATCCCCTGATAATCCCATGAAATTTACAGTGTTTCATAATGTTTCATAGTTACAAAGAAACATATTTCCAACATCTCCCCATGGATTTTGGCATATTTTGGCGACCTCCAAGTGACCCGGGTCCCATATCCCATCCGCCTCCGCCTCCGCTCCAGGCCACACAATGGGCCCAGCATCGGCCGCCAGCTCTGCTTCGGGCAGCACATGGTTCCGAGGCGAGTCTTGCTGAGGGACCTGGCTACGAATTGAATGATGAAAAAGTTGAAGACCATGGAGAAAATGGCTAAGGGAATATCCCCAGAATTTCTATGGCCTGAAATGTGCTACAGTACTTCCATGTTTGGTTCCTGAAAATTCCACCATGGCTTTTACCATGGCAATTTACCATGAAAAACGGGCTGGGATTTTAGTGGTTGAAGCCGACACAGACTTTCAACGGATTGGTTTAAGGGAAAATCGAAGGAAACCATGGTGTTTACCACTAATACATGGGCTTCCGGTGTCCGATCAAGTTCCCTGGTGGTTTCAACTCCTCTGAAAAATATGAAAGTCAGTTGGGAGTATTATTCCCAACTGTATGGAAAAATAAAGTTCATGTTCCAAACCACCAACCAGTGTAGGTCGAATGAACAAAGTATTTGAAAGCATCCGACATTCAAGTACTAGACTGTCCAAAATACGCACCCCCGAAACATGTTCTACCGTATCTGGTTGAGGGTCAAGGTTTCAACACTGAAGAAGAACAGAATTTTGGGGGACTCATATCCGAAATCTGGTCTCAATCATATACCCTCTGGCAATGTACCGCAGCCTAGCCATGGAAAATCAGCATTTCTAATGGGTAAAGCAGCTAACAAAATGGCATGTTTCATAGCTTTGTGGAATTACTGGAGGGTATCAAGAATTAGTAATTGGAATGTGGGTACATATTTGCGAAACACCGGACATCTTGATCATGAATCTCAACGCATATGGAGCTTTACCTAACAAACAGTTTAGGATAGAAACCAGTCTTGACAATCAATGACTATAAATTCGACATTGGAATTTTATCAAACCATATTCCTCTATAGGTTTATTAATGATTAAAAGTGCTAGTCATTATTTTAGCATCTAGAGCTGCTGTTCAACCATCAAAAATGGTTTGCACGCCAGACATGGATATTTTGCCAACCCTACAGATGCCAAACAAAAACACATATTGACGGAGGTTCTTGGCTCATACGAGTACCTGGATCCTCAAACAGCACTGTTTTTAGTTGTTTTTTCTCTGCTCATAGCATTTCTTGGTTGGATTTATAATGCTGACTTTTTAATCCTCAATTGTACTTTAAAAATACACACACACACGTGCACACGCGCACACACACACACGAACACGCACGCGCACACACACACACATCATATATTTGTGTGTGTCATACGTGTCCTAACTGATGGGTATTTATACTTGTTTCCTGTGTATTTCCGGCAATTCTGCTGGAAAATACACTGAATTATTGTTGTTTCAAAGCGCTCAAAGTGGAAAAATGCCACGGTGTCGCGCAATACACTCATTTGGGAACCAAATTCGCTCGGACGGCTATTCTGTTCCAAAATATCCAGCTGCCATGTGCGGCAACGTAAGAACAGAAAACTGGGATCGGCTCACCCATGCATTCGCCCGACCCTCAACCTTGCAATGGGCATTGGCATCCTTCTCATGCTCACCTCGAGGTGTTGAAGAACTAGTGTAACTAGCAGGAAAACTGCTGGCTTCGCCAAAAATGGTGATGTTGAACCAGCATGAGGATTCACAGGATTTAGCCAAGAAGAAAATGGATTTCATATGATTTCATGAGCAAAAACTTGGATTTTCACTATGAAAGAACGGGGTGAAAGATGAGCAAAGACCAGGGGCCAGAAAAAAAAAAAACGCCACTTTCCCCTAAGAAGTTCACAATCCATGGGGAAAATGAGATACCATCTGGTTATTTAACATAGCCATGGAGTTCTACTGGACTCTACTGGACTAAATAAACACAGGACTCTACTGGAACGGAGTTCTACCCGCAATTTTCAGACACACTCATACATACCCTAAGAGTTTCTTTCCAGCAAGAGTAGAGGGCCGGGGTTGGGTTCCCATGGTGCTGTAAGGTTCCCAATAATTTGGGACCGCATATGGCATCTGAACCTGATGAAGTTACACTAGGAGACCCCAAGAATAAGATAATGACTAGTTAATTTTGCCCCTATTAGACAAGCCCGGTTATATCAATCCGGGGTTGTCATAAATCCACGTGCACCATGCCATGGCTGTCTCCCAGGATCAACGTCTAACACCAAGTTGACGAAATGATTGGTTTTATCTGGGTTTATGATACATCTTTAGTGGCTGAAACATGCTGATGATCGTTTTGATTGTATCATGGTGTTCATTCTGGTTTAGTAAGGCGTGGTTTACTAAATGTTGCTTAGTTCACCACAGAAAACCTGATCTTGTTCTTGTGATTGAACCGGGCCCAAATCAGAAGCAAGCCCAATAGGACTGGTTTCCCATGCATAAACAAGCATTTATTGTGAGGCTGTTGTTGGGTCACGAAAGCTTGCCCAAATATATTGCACATTAAGCAAGCAAGCAAACAAACAAACAAACAAAGGAATGATGGAACGAAAGAACGAAGGAATGAAGGAAAGAACGAGCAAACGAAGGAACGAACGAACGAATGAATGAATCAAATGTAGTGTGAGAATGTGTGTATATTCATATGTATACATCATGTGTAGTATCCATTATATCAGTAGTGTGGAAGGGTCAATTTTTTGGGCCCAACATTGACTGGCTTTACCACATGACCAATCTGGATTTCCGTGAGTATTTCATGGTCAAAGTATGTGAAAATCGTGGGATTCTATGACTCCACCAGGGATGACAAAAAAGCCCTATGAACCCCATGATATCCCATGATAGTAACCTTGGTGGCACCTTTTTTTGTTGAAATTGATCATTAAAAAGGAATATAATGCCTATAACATCCTATAACTAACTGGATTTTGGACATGTTACAGCTATTTATCATTATTTGTCCATATTTATCCATATTTATCCATATTTATCCATATTTATCATATTTTATCCCTATTACCCTCTGATTATTTATTTAACATCGCCATGGTATAGATGGCCCATAGAAATAGATGGTTTACCGAACTTAAACATGGTGATTTTCCATGGCTATGTTAGTCATGTCATAACCAGATGGTAAAAAGGAATATAATGCCTATAACTAACTTTGATGATCTTTGATGCTAGTTGGTTACATCTCCATTTATCTCCACATTCTCCCATTTCTTCCCCAAAAGATTTTTGTACCCTCTTTTTGTGATGTTTTGTGATGTTACCCCTATATGGAGGTTTCCTAAAATAGGGGTACCCCCAGTTCTCATATGTTCTCATCCATTTTAGATTGGGATTTTCCATTGTAAGCCATCCAGCGAGCTTGGGGTACCTCCATTTATGGAAACCCCCCTATGTTCATACAATGTGAGGCGCCCGTTCGATGGCTAAGTTGGTGAACATCACTCCAATTTCACTATGGTTTATGGTACGCAAATAACGAACTAGTTACTGGGGCGAGTCTAAACCAACAAACATAACTGGTTGGTGGTTTGGATTATGACATTCCCAATATATGGAAAAATCATCCATTCATGTTCCATTCATGTTTTTTGGGGGGCCCCAAAACGTAGGTTTTTCATAGGCGAAATCCTCACGTGGGGGGCCCGCATTGTATGATTTTCCGCATGATTTGGCCATGGCACCCTCTCTCGGCAGCTCATCTCTGGGTGGACCGCTGGCGGCTTCGGCCGCTTCGGCCGCTTCGGCCGCTTCGGCCGCTTCGGCCGCTTCGGCCGCTTCCACCGCGACGGCCACGGCGACAGCTGGCCTGACAGGCGAACGGGGGATTTGGCCATGGGAATTCGTAGGGAGTTCCATAGGGAAACATGGAGGTTTAACATGGTTTAACCATCAACAAATAGGGATTTCTTGCGAACTCATAGGGGTTAATGGAATCCATGTGAGTAGAGTAGGATAATCAAACTTGGCTGGCTATGCTGAGAAAACTTCTATCAATGGAGGTTATAGATGGGAAGATGATCGAACAAAATGGGTGATTGTCCATTGCCATATTTGATTACCGGAGGGGAAATCCAAGAATGAACGTTGGATGATATATAATGGAAAACGTAAGCGGTGCTGTGAGAATTTTGGCAAAGTTCCCAATTTGTGTGTTTTTTCAACTTGTGAAACTGGTAGTCAGGAAAATGTCCATTTATAGTTGATTTACCTATGAAAAAGGATGATTGTTCAGTTCGCAAACTGTTAGTCTACCAACAGCTCGGTGACTCCGATGGAAATTCTCCAAATAGTGGAAATGATTGTGATTAACAGTGTGTTCATGGTACGTTTATAGTGCTTAATCATGGTTATTTATAGTGATAATAATAATGGTTAATAATGGTTCATAATGATCCTGGAGCTTCAAAAGTACACTAATTTCTGCTCGAGCAAATTTCTGCTCAAGGAACCCAAATCTGCTCGTTTTACCAATTTCTGCTCGAGGTACAGTTAGATTTGAAAACAACCACTTTTCAAATGTGTGCTCGTTTGCGGGAAATTGCGCTCGATTGCGGGAAATTGCGCTCGTTGTGCGGCCTGTTTTTTTTTGAATCAGCGACAGGCAGTCAAAACTCAAGAAGTGCTCGTTTGGCAAAATTCTGCTCGTGATGGAAAAATGCGCTCGATTTGCCAAAAACATATACGAACAAGCAAACAACCAGAAATTAATGCTCGTTTGAAGATCAAGGATAATAATAGTTCATAATGGGTAATATGAAGGTTTCCTAAGTCATAGGGGTACCCCAAATCATCCAAGTCATGGGTAACCATGACTCAGTATTGAAACCCATGGTGACTTGGGGTACCACCATTTTGGGAAATTCTCCAAAAACTCGAGAATCATATCATCGCCCATCGCCATTTTCCGACATTTTTCCAAATGCTGCCAAACACTCCTATTTTTTGTAGCGTTCAGAGCTGCGTTCAGACCATTGGCCCCCAAGCGCGGACAAAAACATCTGAAGTAAAACATACAGAAATTGGCATGTCAAGTATCTATCTGGTAATTTAACCGTTTGCAGGCTAGAAAATCACCTAATTTTTAAGTTCGGTAAAGCATCTATTTCTATGGGCCATGGCTTCCATAGCAAACTGGCAGAGTATGGGTCAAAAACTAAGGCCCAAAATCAACTGACCTTTGAGCTGAGGATGTCAAATCTGTCAGGGTGGCTGAGTACATATCATATCAGGTTAAATATCATGTGTACATATATATATTACGTATATATATATACATAATATATATATATATATACATAATATATATATATACATAATATATATATATATATCATGTATAGATATTATGTATATATATATATATTATGTATGTATATATATATATTATGTATGTATATATCTATATATATTATGTGTATATATATATATTATGTATATATATATATTATGTATATATATATGTATACATATTATGTATATATATTATGTATATATATTGTATATACGTAATGTATATACATGTAGTATATAAATATAATGTATATGTATATATCACTGTTATATCACTTACATATTGATATATGTATAGAATTATGTAGCAATGTGTAGATGTTATGCAATATATATACATATGTATCCCCATTATCTCCCCATCATCGCCATGGCTGCCAATGGGAGCGCTTTAAAAAATGTTTCGACGAATCAATTCTTTGCGACACAGGCTGTGCCGCTCAAAACTGCGGTGCCACGCGGCGCCCAAGGCGACCCACCTGGCGGGGGGAGGCAGTATTGAGGCGATTCACCATTGTTGCGCACTTGCGTACATAGTACATATCATATCATATCATATCATATGTTATATATACTGTATGTGTATGTATAATGGATATTGTATGTGGATGTGTATGCGCGACTACTTACAGTAATTACATTCATATATATATATATATGTACATTATAGCTATATATATATATATGTAAAACATGTACATGGATTCCAGAATATACTGTGGGTGACAAGCGTGTACATAGATTCTGTATGCATGGCATATCATAAGCATATCATTTGCGGAAAACGGTGCCACGAAGCACAGATGCTTCCACCCCCAGGTCATCGAGTGTTGCAACAAAGGCACGCTGAGATACGCTGAGATCATATCTACAAAACATATGAGTCAGTCGCACAATTAAACATCTTAAACATATGGGTGTTGATCAAAATAAAGGTATCTTGGGGCTCCCATATGATATCAAATGAGTATGTCTAAAAAGTAGACACTTCAGGATACTGTGTGTCCATCCAACTTTGCCAACAGACCTGTGGTTCTAACGCAGGTTCCAGGCCTCTAATGCAAAACATCACTGTTACCCCCAGTTCTTGGAGATCTTTTGCTATTTGAACCATCTATAACCATTTCAGGGTTTGTCTGAAAATAGTCTACCCCTAAACCCAATGGTTAATGATCATGTTCCCATTTTTTATGGCCATGGGGGCTACCCTATTTTCAGACCACCCCCTCCAGCAGCCTCAGGCCCTGGGCCAGTCTTGATAGCTGAAGATCACCCGCCGCGCAAAATCGAAGCGGATCTTTTGACCCAACCTCTGTGCGTGCAGGATGGACCCGCGTTGAAAAACCGTTAGGCGTTACGCTGGATACCCATTGGGACCGGATACCAGAGATATCCTTGTTCTTGATGGGGAAAAATTGGGATTGAACCAGGGAAAATGAAGGAGAAATGTGATCGCCGTTTAAACAGAAACATCCACAAACCCTAGGTGGTTATAAGTGGTTACAAATATCCATGTTCTATTATTTCTAGGTGGTTATAAAATGTTATAAATCAACGTAGCTAAGGCAGCTAAGGTTTCATTTTGCAAAACTGGAAAGGCAAGTGCGTCCATGTGATATCGGAATGTTCTCCGCCCTATCGGTCGCTTCTTGGTGGTATCCACGACACGATGGAGACCATCGGTGGCTTCCCCAGTGGAACCGGTGCGAACTTAATCCCTGGAAAAATCTTCGACATGCTTAAAAAGGAAGATTTGAAACCACCAAAGAATGACACTTTTGGACAAACCCATGTCACTGAAACCACCAGGAAAAGCAGTGGGTCCGGAAATCCATACCGGTGTGACTTCTGCTGACACCAAGCAGCGAATCAGCAGGGAAATCGGCATTGACTTTCTCTGCACTTTCCTGCAGCATGGAAAGCTCATCGAGATGGTACAGCTGAAAGGGGAACACCCCAATCCTTACTATTCAGGATTCATCCATTATTATGAAGTTTTTTTTACAGGAATATCATGGGAAAATAATTGATAGATGAAGAACTTCAATTGATATTTGAGATGTTTGGGTTTCTCATAAAAGTGGGGGGTGGATAGTCCAAAAATTGGGAAATTTGGGGCCCAAAAAATGGCGAAAAACCTCACGGAGAATGGTGATCAAATTTGAGAGAAAAACGGGAATCCTGGAATCAACGGAGAAAAACCAACGTTTTTATGGGGAGCTCATTGTGGGGTACCATAGGCACCTATCATGATCAACAAATTCATGGCAGTTTTTAGGCTTTCAATGGCTTTCACTTGGGAGTTTTCGGATGTTTTCGGCCTACACATGGATAAACCTGTGCTGAGTGCCTTATAGAACCATAGCAACCATAGTAACCAAGCTGCCAGATCCTAACTTAGAGGTCAAAATCCATGAAAATCCCATAGATCCCATAGGTCCTGTAGTTCATGGTTAATTCTAGGGGGATATATCCTAAATTTATGGGGATTAAATTCCACTAACATCCATTCAAATCCATTAACATCCTTTCAACATCCATTCAACTCCATGGAAATCCCATACAGATCCATACCTGGTTGGTGGTTTTAACCGTCTTGAAAAATATTAGTCAATGGGAAGGATTATCCCATATATTATGGAAAATAAAAAATATTTGAAACCACCAACCAGATACAGTAGTTACATTCATGTCATAACCCCACAACCTTTCGGACACGTTCTCCGAAACGCCGCTGAGCCCGCCGCCTTCAAGGCCTCCTTCAGGGGCTTGGTGCGCTCTGTTGCGGCCCGTCCAGCTTTGAGGAAGCCATAGATCTGCCAGGGACCAGCATTGGATTGCCCTCCAGTAAACTAACATAGCTGACCGCCATGGTTATTTTTTTGTTACCTCCGACTACCATAGCTTTTTGGGAAAATCTCTGGAAAATCAAGATTTGTTTGTGGTTCGATAAGGAAGTAGTATATGATTTAGCTATTAAAAATGAGATTGTACTCATGAGCCTATACTCTTCAATGGATTGGTGAAGTTTTCCGTTGTTTTACCATCTTGTGACCACAAGATGTTCGGGGAGTTCATGCAGTGATTTTTTCTCCAAAAAACGAGTCTGGAAAACTTTGGCCATGAGCCCACAGTATCAAGAAAATACCTATTATATACCTGGTTGGTGGTTTCAACTTCTCTGGACAATATTAGTCAGTTGCGATTATTGTTCCCAATATATGGAAAAATAATCCAAATGTTCCAAACCACCAATCAGTATACTGTATACATTTATATACTGCGTTCATGGTTAACATTTGGAGGAGCCCCAGAATCTATATCACATGATGTGAGCTTGCAGAGTTTTAGAAGCTGTTTTGGGCGTCCAAATAAAAGTGTTGGAAGTGTGTTGGATACTTTGGGAACAGTGTTCCATGCTTCTGCAAGGCTAGGAAGTGAGAGTCATTTTATGTGGTGCCAAATAGCACTCTTTTGTGTCCTCCGGTAATCAAACATTGTTTGCTGGTTGGTGGTTTCAACCCCCCGAAAAATATGAGTTCGTCAGATTGGATAATCCCAACAAAATAGGGGAACATAAAATTCATGTTTGAAACCACCAACCAGTTGATAGTCTCACTGTTGTTGGTTACCTTCCGGTAAACATACCAAAAACTATGGAAAATCACCATGAAAATCTTTGAAACCACCAACCAGAATCACCATTAATCACCATTAATCACCATTAATCACCATTAATCACCATTAACCATTATTAACCACAGTTTAAAAAAATAAACATGGAAAATCCCCTACTATTTGGTTCAATGATTTCACCATTTAGGTTCGGTTCCGATGAATTTTCGCCATTCACATGATGACACCGGAGACCAAAGTTATGATCAAGGCTTCAGGGTCCCGGGTCGGTTTTTACTCCAATCGAACCATATGGTTTCATATACTGTATACGTACCCTCTGGTTATGACATTCACAGTTTGCCATGGACAGCTCCACCATGCTATTAAGTTCGGTAAACCATCTATATATAAAGGCCATCTATACCATGGCTATGTTAAATAACCAGATGGTATTATATACAACAATAAAACCTATTGATAATGATAAATAAAAGCATAATGATAGTAATAAAGATGATATATATATACATATATATATATATACATTGGGGTTTCCTAAAACGGGGATACCCAAAAATGGATGGTTTATAAATGTGTATAATGTAACATACCAATCTAAAATGAGGTCAGAAAAACCATGAACAACCTCACGTTTGGTTCCCGAAAAAACACCGGATGTTGAACCCCCACTTTGGATGGTTTACTAACACTCCAAACAGAATTTGATGTCAAAACTAAATACCATACTTACGTCGGGTACCAGCTGGAGTTGTCTGAAAATGTATGCGAAAGCCATCGTCAAAGACCTCATGTTTCAAATTTTCCCAATCAAACTAGCCAACTTGTGGATGTAAAATCTCTATTGTTCACGGTTTGAACTCACCATGTCTCATCATATCCGCCTGGTTGCCACTGCTTTCGTTGATCGGCGTTCGGACCGTGAAAATCTCTGAGCTGTCACCACAACAGGTCCTTGGACGACGGCTCGAAGGGCTCGAAGGGCGACGTTCATTGAAAATTGGGACGTTGAAGCATGATTTAACCAGACATATCCACTATAAATTGTGTTTTAATGCGAAAATGATCTATAAATTGTGGAACTAGCCTTTGGTTGTTTAATATAGCTATGGAAAATCACATGTTATAGTTTTCAAGAAATAAAAGTGCCATGTTCAATAGCTATATGTTGAATTACCACAAATTAGCCAACAGAAATATACAAACATTGGGATTGAAGAAACTAAAGGGGGAAAATTTGGATTCACCTCAGGAGGTCACCCGAAATTGGGATTTCAGCAACAGAAATATGGGAGTCACCAGTGGGTCAAAAAAACGCATTTATTGGGTTGGTTTTCCAGGAAGATGTAGCAGGAAACAGAATTTTCACCACATAATTTTGGGGAAACCCATGACAAGGTCCCCCCCGTCCAAAAAAAAAATCAAGAGTTTGGCCGAAAAAACAAAACATGGCATGCACAAAGTGTGCCAAAACATGGGCGAGTAAACCGAATCTAGATTTGGGAGTCGTTCATCTTGACAAATATCAATTCCAGGATGTCCTCTTTGCCAGCCTTGCCAGCCTTGCCACTTCTATGATTCGAACAATATGCATGGCAAAAGGCTGCATTTATGGTATCTATGATATATATGATATATATGTGATATATATATATGATATATGGTATATACACCGACATTGATCTACAAATTGCTGGATTTCCCATCTGGCTACAGGTCAATAACGCCACATTTGGGTGGGTAACCATTCATTTACCAGCTGTTTTGCGGTTCACCAGGGGGCCAAGGTTTTTGACACATTCCTATATCTATATATTATAATCGATTTCAGGATAATGTCAACCCCGGATTAATAATTAATTAGGGGTACTCCTCCAATAGTCACTATCTGATACGTAAATGGTACCCTCCCAATTAAACAGCCTAGGGGTTTATTAAATCCAGGGTTGGCATTAGTTTATAGATGTGTATAACCCATAGAACAAGATCTACCCTCCGGTAATCAAATATGCTTTGCTGGAAGATCCCGCATGGATAGTTCGGGGATTTCCCAGTCATGATGAGACCGAAGGGTAGATCTCCTTAGGCCGTACTTAAATGTATGATTGTATCTTGTCTGGGGAACTGCTTTTTGAAAACCGACTTTATAGAGGCTATGGTATTTGTTTAGGGGGGATACAGGCAGATCACGACGCAACATTGCATCTGCACATCTTCCCATGTCATCATTTTGTTGGTCGAAAAGCCAAAAAAACACTGGTTGGTGGTTTCAACCCCTCTGAAAAATATGTTCGTCAGTTGGGATGATGACATTCCCAATATATGGGAAAAAAAATCCAAATGTTCCAAACCACCAACCAGATCATTTGGTTCCACAAAAACCACAATCACAATGAATTCCGCTAAGCGCAGAATCATTTCTCGCCAAGAGAAATCGCGACCCGCGGATCATTTCTGGAGGAACGAGCCGGCTATACATAGCTAAGTTGGTTTACGATTTGGCCAACTCGGATTTATGGTTTATCATGGTTTATCTATCACCATGAATATTAACATCACTTTCATTCATCATTCCTATTTATTGTCAATACCGTTCTATCAATGTCAACGTCAACTAATGTGGGTTAGAAAAAAACATAAACCATCCCCCAGTCATCAACATTTTTATAGGTGGTATGAATAAACCATTCCCAGTCATGGTTTTTGTTTTTGGCAATGTTTGAGCCACATCAAGGCGTCAACGACATCGCAGGCTAACTGCGATCAGATCGAGCTGCGTTGCGATGGCGGTCACCATGTCTTCGATCTCCTGCGCAGTCCCGGAGCTACCACTGCCCGTCATCCCAACCAGCAAGTTCAAGACCACCGTGGCGTTGGGCTTTAGGACCTGGCACTAGGAATTGCTGAGGAAAGTGCTGCTAAATTCTGATCATTTTTCCGGAAATGTGATGTCATGGAATGACCTATAGATATTGATACATCATGTGCTTATGATCATTATTTTAAAATGAGGAATGATATATCATGATATCTCTATCATGATACCGTCTATATATATATAGGTATATCACAGTATATCATAGTAGATGTGTTCTTGACGATTCTAAAAAACCAATGGTTCTTATCATGTTCGGATTTTTATCATGATCGTCCAGCGAGCTTTCGTTAAAGGGTAGGTAGCCTTTTTGTGGTGGATCAAAATCCTGGTACCATAGCTGGTGAATTTCGATGTCATGTGAATGGCTCCCAAAAAGATGGGGGAAAATCATAGGGAACTGGACCCACCCCACCCAAAAAAGGGGGTTCTTGTGGGGGATCTCCGAGTCACCCTAGCTACCATAGCTTTCAATACTAAGCCATGGCCATCCATGACGACTGGATGATTTGGGGTACCCCCATGTCAGGAAACCTCCATTTATCATAGGAATCATAGATGTATTCTATAAACTCATCAATGATATCAAATTGAGTTCAACCGCAAATAACTATTTGAACAGTGGCCATAGACCTCTGTTGATGATTGGTTTGGGGCTACTAAGTTAACAGCGATCTACCCAGCTCACATCGCCCTCCCAATGTCTGTTCAATCTCCAAGTCCACAATTTCTCCAGTTTCGCTAGATACATCTCAAATGTTGTTGCTTGCTAATGTCACACGTGTTCTTGCTTTCAGTATCTTGACATTCACCCTTGTGTTGTTTAACTCCCCATTTGGTGAAACCGCTTCTTAGGATGAAAACCCTAGGTTTCCACATCAAGTAGCTAGTCATATCGGTTTTGAGGCATCTAAATTTCTGGACCCACCCTGCAGCCTACAATTTCTGTTGCTGGGATCTTAGCAATGCTTCAGGACCCATCTTGTTGGGTTGAATATGTGGTAAACCTCAAAAAAAAGGATCGAACCCTCATTTTCAAAGATCAAACCTCCATTTTTCGGATTAAAACCCACAAACAATGGCATTGGTAGACCATTTTGTTGTTTGTCCTCCTGGATACCTGGCTGATTCTGGGGTTAGAGGGAAACTCTTTTGGAAAATTGGTTGAATCTATATAGATCTGTAGTTCACATAAAACAGGAAAGCACCTGGAACATAGCATGGAAGGTGAATGCATTTCTATATCTTTCTATTTCTATTTGCTTGGATGCCAACATCAGAATAACATCAACATATTGCAATGGCCCCAATGGCCCTAACCTCTCATGTTCGTTCATCCCAATATTGGAATGAATTGATTCTCATTGGTTACAACCTTGGTTACCCTCTGGTAAACAAACATAACTATGGAAAATCACCATTTTTTGATGGGTAAATCAACTATTTTATAAATGGCCATTTTCAATAGCAAACTGTTAGTTTACCAGAGGGTACCATTCCTTGGCCAACAAGGCAGTTCTTCCCATTTTTCAAGGTCCAACCCCTTCCACCGGGCCTTGTTCAAGCTCTGCAAGAAGGTCCCCTGGCCGTCGACCAAGACGGGGGGCACCTTGCCGCTCTTGTCGAAGGCGTCGATGAAGACCATGTCATACCTTGGGGTGCATGCCACTTAGTAAATGGGCTATACCAATGGGATTTACCTATGGTAAATGGGTGAAAACCATGGTTATACCCTTTACACATGGTGAGTTAAACCATGTTAAATAACAATTTTTTCGACTTAGTAAATGGGTTTTACCCCCAGTTACAGATGGAATATCGTGGAATATCCCCAGTTATGTATATATATATATATATCTCATCAAGTAGAGGTTAGTAAATGGGTTGTGCCCGTTACAAAATGTTTATACCATGTTTTACCCATCTTTTCATTTGACTTAGTAAATGGACGTAAATGGTTTATCAGTTCGATTGATGGAATATCAATATCCCCAGTATATATATATATATATATGTGTGTGTGAGGCATGAAATATCATGGAACATCCCACTTGGTAAAAGGGTTATACCGTATTGGTGGAATATCATGGAAAGGATCATCCCACGGCTCGTGGTTGTGGTTACCCTGGTGATCACAAGTCCCCTATATAAGTGGGCTATCCCATGTTTAGATGGGTTATAGCTAAATTATATCTACAAACCCATGAAAATAGATGGAAATGAACTCTTAACTAGAAGTTCTTGAATGGTAATGAGTGTAAAATCATGGGGTAAAGCCAATAGCCAATAGTGTTTTGAGAGTTGATTCTTTCTGGGAAGCTTCAAATAACTAATGGAAATGAGCTATTGACTAGTTGCAATATCCAACTGGTAGTGAATAATACTATTGCTGTAGCTGACAATGCCATGTAGTTGGCTGGGCGCGCGCAGAAGGCCGCGTCACGAAACAGTGTTTTTGCTAGTTCACTGCACTGGCGCCACAGCGAGAGCGCACTTTTTCCTTTTTTCTTGTGTTTCGCCTCAGTGAAACCTCTTTTTTTGTCTTTTTTTGTTGTTTTTTTTGGCGTGGTGTTGGTTGGGGGGGTGGGGGGTGGGGGGGGGGGGGGGGATGTAATAACGTTCTTTGGACTTGAACACATCTGGGATGTTATGTCATGAGATCTTTTCTTGGAATTCAACACATCTGGGATGGTACGTCATGAGATCTTTTCTTGGAATTCAACACATCTGGGATGGTACGTCATGAGATCTTTTCTTGGAATTCAACACATCTGGGATGGTACGTCATGAGATCTTTTCTTGGAATTCAACACATCTGGGATGGTACGTCATGAGATCTTTTCTTGGAATTCAACACATCTGGGATGGTACGTCATGAGATCTTTTCTTGGAATTCAACACATCTGGGATGGTACGTCATGAGATCTTTGGTACGTCATGGAATTCAACACATCTGGGATGGTACGTCATGAGATCTTTTCTTGGAATTCAACACATCTTTTTTCTTGAATTTCCTGTTTTTTTGAAAACATAAAAAAGGAGATGACGCAACCTTGCATGAGCATGTGTCTTTAGAAGTGTTTCAATGGGCATAGAGAAACCATGCACTTTTGGGAAAGAATCCAAGCGAGGTTCTTGAGCAACTGTCTCGACTTTTTGCAGATTAAAGGTGGATGAAAATAAAAGTCATGCACTGAAGTAAATACACCTGAAAGTGTCTCAGCTGAAGTAGTTTTTTTCGACGTCAAAATATGACACGCCAAGATATGAACATGGACATGTGAAGTTGTACATGCATTTCGAATGGCCAGCGTGGAGGATTTGCCATATCACCATTCATACATTTGTGTCAAAACTGAGATGAAAGTGCACGAAACCATACGGCCATCTATGAGCGCCCGACCATGTAGTTGATTATTGGATGTCGCTGTCAATGCCATGGCTGGCAATTGGAAATCTCGTCCGTATAACTGCATAAAGGTTTTTATGGGAAAATCATCTATTTCCCAGCAAGCTATCGTTGATGAAAGGCGGGTAACTGGTAGTCATAAGATCCAGGTACTTACTTTCCATCAGCGTTTTTCAGTGGGAGATAACCAGCCAGACCATCGGGATGTGCCCAACAGAAAGCGGCTAAATGTCAATGGCCATTTCAGGTACCTAAATTGGAGGTACCTACCATATATAAGGCGTATATAAGGCCTATGTAAGGGAATATCCCAGCAAAATATGGCCTTATATGGTACAGTACCTCCATTTTAGGATCCTGAAATTCCCATTGAAAATGGCAATGGGTAATTTATCGACGCCAATATACCCTCTGGTAAATTCACAGAACCATGGAAAATCACCATGTTTAATGGGAAAACTCACTATAAATGGCCATTTTCAATAGCTATGTATTCATAGTGGATTTACCTATTAAGCATGGTGATGTTCCATAGTTATGTTAGTTTACCAGAGGGTAACCAATATAACATTATAGGCCTGAATGAAACACCACTTGATGTATATATATATATACACCAACTTGGGTATATGGGTAATCTCCCTCACTAGCGTAAATTATTGAAATATTAATATGTGGGTATGTGTTATATTATATGGTACTGGATTTGTTTCAATGGCAATTGCTGAATATATGGGCTAGTAATGGTGGATGGATAGTTATTTTTACCCCAGCAAAATGGAGATTCTCCCAATAGAGAATACGTTCTTTCTGCAAGGGATTTGGGAATGTATATATAGATGTTCCTGAAATATGGATGGTAAAGAATATAAGCTACCCTCTGGCAATCTAACAGTTGGCTGTGTAAAAACATGTTTTTAAACACCATCTTTAAAACCGGTATAACATTGAATTCAATGGGCCATGGCTTCACACACGGAATCCAATACCCTTACCGGGTAACGTGTATGACCCACCAGTGGAGTCTTGAGGATGGCTTACCACACTGTCATGATATCCACACTGGGGTTTCTTAAGTCATGGGGGTTTCCCCAGTCGTCACCATGGTCGTTTCAATCCTAAGTCATGGTCATGACGACTGGATGATTTCAGGGATTTTGAGGGGAAAAGGTACCCCCATGACTTTCCGGAAACCTCTGGAAACCTCCATATGATCTCCATATTGACCTGGATCATTTTATAACATTTCATATACACCCGGGCGTCATTCAGTTTTCATCCAATGCCCGTCAGCTCTCAGGCACTTGTAATTCTCATCCTTTTGGGCCGCTACGGCTTCAACAAAATCTTCACCTGAAAAGCGCCGATGATTTTTTGAATTTCTTTGGGCGGTGAGAGGACTTCAAAAATGGAAACAAATATGGATTTTGCTATCAAGAAATGAATTTAACCATGAAAAATCCCAAGATTTCACCAACAAGTATGACAGTATGACCCTTGTATGGTTGTTCGAAGGCTGTGCGGGCATCCATGTTTTCGACCATGAATTTTCCAGGGTGTTCCGAGGTCCGGTGAAACTGTGAACAGTCAGAGGGAAAATTATGTCCATCATCAAATATGTCTCCTCAAAATGAAGTCAGCAGGATGTTCATGAAAATTAAGTAAACATGAATGTTTTATCCCCGAAACATGAAATACTCTGGTCCGGTTCCGAAATTCGTACTTCTGACGATCTGGACGGACAGTGGGTAACCAGGGATCCTTAGGATCCTTTTTTGGGG